TTTGTAAGTGGCCATTTCCTGGCTTCGGTGCAGTTAAACCAAGTGCTGGGTCATTAGACTGTGGGAATAGCATGTGTGCATTTCATTTCCTTGGGGATGATTTTTTTAAAAGTGGCTCTAACGCACCTGATCACATTCAGATGTGCTCCCTGGGAAGCGGGCCATCTGAGAGCACAGGAAAGCCAGCGCAGGGGTGCCCGGATCAAGCTCAACGTCTTGTTCAACAGAAGCCACTAAAGACAGGTACTCAGGGATGATAATGTCCTTTTGTGCCTTTGTCTGGGGCAGCTCATTAAGGTAAGAGATTGCCTCAGCATTGACAGGACAACCCCTTCCTGTGTGTTCCAGGAGAACATAATTGACTACAAAACCTTTTTTTGATGTCACCACTGCCAGATACAAACCCAATTAGCAGCAGAGTTAACTCAGATGCATCCCAGGAACATGGAAATACCACGTTCTACAGCTAATCAGACCTGTGGAAAGATGACACATCTGGATGTCATCAGGAAGGTGGATTCTGGGGATCACAGGGGTCTGTGTGTTCTCAGGTCCCTCATGTTCTGCTGACTTCAGAGCCCCCCTTGGTGGATGAATTACAGGGACTTAGAGGATTAGAAATCAGAGACCAGCTTCTTTCTGCTCAAGATTTCTCATCTAGGAGCAGCACCGTTCCATTCTGAGGCCAGAGATATTCAAAATAAGTCACTCAGGTTTAAATTCCAATTGAGCCTCATGGTACCGCCTCAGCTCCCTCCCACAGATCTAAGGATTAAAAAAACACACACACACACACACACACACAAAAACACTTTCTTCTTGTTATGTGACTGCTCTCTGAGGAGTCTTATGTTCTGACCCTTGACAGCAGAAGCAAACAGTAATTTCATGGCACAGAGGAATGTTCTGGCCGGCCTACCCACGTCAGTTTAAATAATTAATATTGCCAGGCAGGCACTTAAAGGCTGGACAGAGAGAAAAATGCCAACACAAAAGGGCAAATGCAAAAGGAAATACTTGCCTGGTTTTTGACTTTTTATTACAAAAGGATTGTGGTGATTATCCATCATCCTGATGTGGATGGTAAGAGACAGTGGGGCTGTAACTGGCTTTGTCCATTTCCCGGTAAGGTGGGAAGGTGGGAAGAGGCAGTCCAGGCTCTGGAGACTTTACTTTTAGTAACAAAAGCCCCATTTAGAAATAACCTCCAACTAGACCACTTGGGCTTGAATCAAACTGATCAGAAACCGAACAGGAGATTCAGTTGGGCTTCTCAGACATCTGACTTTAATGATTGGTGGCCTTCATGTATCAGATGTCTTCAACTGCCTATGTGACATGCCAGTCCTGGATTTCTCACTTGGTTGATGGGGGAAACCCACTGTTAGAGGTAGGGTGGTAGGACCCATTCAAAATTTGGATGATTTTTTTTTTAATAGTGTTGGGATCAAGCCCAGGGCCTTGTAGAAAGATGACACATCTGGATGTATCCCTTTAATTTGATGGGTGATGTGCTCAGTTAGTCTGGGTACAGTCAGCCTACTCTGGCCTTGTGCTGGCAGAAAGCATGTAGAAAGCAGGGTAGAAGTCTCTGGAAGCAGAGCCCAGAGGTCTGGGAAATTTGTTGGAGCTTTCAGTTGTAAGCAGCAGCAATGAGGTTGGGCTGATGGAAGCAGAAAAGGAGCATGTTGAGTGGCTGGACAGGGCTCAGAGTCATAGGGAGGGCTGGAGGACATCTTGTGAGGATTCCATAGTGCCTGCGGTGGACTGCTGGACTTCACGGCCCTTGGACAGTGATACTGCTGCAGACACAGGGCCCCACCTGCATCCCTTCTGCCGCAATGGTTCCTACCTCTGGCCCTGCCAAGACTGTGACTCCTCACTTAAGTCCAGGGTCCCTGAGTGGCCAAGCCCATCCACTTGCCTGTGCCCCAGAGTAAGGGGGGTAAACACCCACTCAGCCTGAGTCCTGGTGCTGCTTCAACCACTTTCCAGAAGGAAACATCAGACAACACTTTGGTCCCCAATGAAGACTTAACAAGGCCCACTGAGCTTTCCCTTCCTGCCCCTACGTCCTATGTCTTGGTTCCAAGCTTGATGGTTCTACTTGGCGGACATCTGTGCCCTTCATTCCTTTCTCCCCCTGGCTGTTGCCATCTCCATTGGGAGTGAGGACAGAATGAGGCAAAATCAGTGTACCATTGCTCTGGGGAGGAGGCGGGGAGCTGGTGGCTGACAGCAGTAGCCAACTAGTAGGCGTAACAAAGGTGAGAACTGTTAGAAAATGCCAAGCACCTGTCAAAGCTCTCATTCCCAACATGTGACACAAATCTAAGCCAGGTCTAAAGCTGCCGGGGAGCAGGAGGCTGCCCCTCAGATGCAGTTCGGAGCAGCAGGAGTCAGGCAGAGTTCCTCCCCCAGCAAGGTAGAAAGAAAACTGTGGGCTGAGAAACACCGGGAGATTTTTGAAAAATTCTAACAAGATTCTTTGTTTATCTTCTCCCTGGCTTCCGCAGCCGGTCTGCATGCAGTTGGGATAAATTCAGCCCAGGAGGAAAAGGCAGCATTTCCTCCCCCTCTCCTCCCATTTTAGGTGAGAGGAGGAGGTGGCATGGGGGCTAGAGAAAGATCTGGAGCGCTCACCAGCTGGTGCTGCGGCTGGGAGGAGCAGAGCTAGCTTGCTGTGCACCCCCACATAGAGGGCCCAGAGCAGGAGTGCAGAGCACCCTCTTTCCTTGGTCCCCCTCACCCAGCTCCATGGAACTCAGGCATAGAGGGAGTAAGTAGCCCCTTATATGTCAGGGGTCCCTGTGTCCTGCTTGCCCACAGCAGGGTCCCTACAACCAGACTTGGGACATACAACTCCCTGTGGGAGCCATGTTTTTAGAGTATAGCATTGCTTTCCAGGACTCTGTTGAAATGCAGTCCTACTGCCTGGGGATGGTAATATATAAATAACTCCAGCCCTTCACACAGAGTTGGCCATTAGGTTACTGAGGGATGGCTTGTGGGGCAGTTCTAAGGATGGAAGTCGGAGATATTTTGATGCCCATGTGGAGAATGGTAAGGACATGCAAAGGTGGGTGCCCTGAGTGTAGGGGTCATATAAGGGCTTGGGTAAGAAGGGGCACCAGGAAAGAAGGAGTAAGGGTTTAGAGCCTGGGGATAATGAACAAGGCCTTGTCATTACCTAGACACAGCCTTGGCTCTCTGCAGCATGAGGAAGAAGGTGGACAGTTCAAACTCCAGCTTTCCAAAGCTTTTTAAAGGCCTTTCACCAAAGCATGGGTCTTGGTTGGTGCTTGAGAAAGTGGTATAAACACAGAGGCCAACTCACCCAAAGGGGAGAGAAATAAATCATTGAGCTAACTCTTGGGCAGACTTAAGCAATTTTTTTTTATCCTTTCTTTTTTTTTTTTTTTTTAGTGCTGCCTATGGAACCCAGGGCCTTATGTTGCTAAGCAGGGGCTGTACCACTGATATATGCTCCCAACACTAAGCAGATTTTTATTTATCGTGTCTATTTCCTAAATGATTTTCAAAAATATCATTATTGTTACTATTTTGCAGTACTGAGGCTTGAGCCTAGGAGGCCTATACCTCTGAACTACATTCCCAGCTCTTTTTATTTTTTATATTGAAACAGGGTCTGAGCTAAGTTGCCCAGGTTGACCTCAAACTTGGATCCTCCTACTTCAGCCTCTGGAGTTGTTGGGATTGTAGGTAAACATACCACACTTGGCTTGTTTTAAAATTTGACTCAAGGCCTTTTAGCTGTGGAGGTGAGGTACTTGGCCTCAACTTTTGGCTCATTTGTGCTTTTTAGTTAACACACAAGAGGCTGTCCCACCTGGCCAGGGACAAAGATTCTCTGAGATGTGGGACGGGGCTCTGAGAGATGCCCAGGGAGGTGAGCTTTTGAATGCCAGCTGGTGACCATCCTTTAAGCGTATGTGTCTCAGCCAGGCTCCAAAGAGCCTTTCCCAGTGTCCTGAAGAACTTCCCTTCAGGAACTCCATACCTCCCTTTTCCTGTGTTCTACTCAGGTTAGATTGGGATTGAAAGTATCCATCCTCAGTCACCCTTCTCACTACCACTAAGCACCATTAAGTCCCTTAGTGTCTGTGGGGGACTGGTTCCAGGACCCACCCCCCACGTACCAAAATCTGTGGATACTCAAGTCCATTACATAAAATGACATAGTATTTGTATATAACTTTGCACAAGCTTCTGTATTCTTTAAATCTTCTCTAGTTTCCTTATGATACCTAATAGAATGCATATGCTATGTAAATAATAACTATACTGTAATGTTTAGGAAATAATGCCAAAGGAAAAAAAGTTCATATGTGTTCATTACAGGTGCAGCCACCATAGGCCTAACTACACAGTACACAAACAGGGCTCCAGGGGAACCATGCTCCAGCTGGTGCTGGAGAGAGACAACCTGTGAGATGCTGGGAGGCCGCAGCTCACTGTCCCCATAAAACACTTCATTCACATGGCCTCAACATAATGCTTGGTGAGTGGCAAATTCAAATTTTGCTTTTTGGAAACTTCTGGAATTTCCCCCCCGAATACTTCCAATCCATAGAAGGATTTGCAGGTAGAACCTGTAGATATGAAAGGCTGACTATGCATCCAAGGAGTAAGGGCTGTATGACTCCTATCTGAGAAGGAGGGCAGGTCCATGCAGACTGGGGCCAGGGCCTGGTGAGAATCCTCACATGTTGCCTTGTCAGCCTTGAATGGCTATGACCTGTGAGTGTGCACTGAGCTGCTGTCATCATTCTGGAGACCCAGCCAGAGAACTGTTGGTGTAGTTTATTGCCATGATGAGAAACTTGTGTTAGTTACTATTAGAATTGTTGCCATTGATCTTTTCTGAAGATGCAGATTTATATACTGCTTGTCTATATTAATGGTCTGCTTGGGCTATTTTGAAACACGTGCATATCTTAGTTTGTGGTCAATCTGAGAAACAAAATGCTACCACTTACCACTTAGCAAGTGAGGGCTGGTCCTCTGGTTCCTTTTGGCTCCAACTGGGCAGCAGGAAATCTGGTGATTACTGAGCCCTGACAGGGTACAAGGAGAATTTGGTCATTACTGAGCCTCTGGAACTGCTATTGCAGTTTTGCATAGGCCAGCCCAGGATCTGGAGCTGGCTTTGCCTGGGAGTCCTTGGCCACTGGACACTCTGAAAACCTAAAAAGTGATATGGGGGCTGGATGATAGTTGTATTGCTATGCTATGTTGATGAAGACATTACCATTTATTGATTTTATGTTGTATTAGTCTGCTTGTGCTACCATTACAAAATAGTTACAGGATGGTGACTGAAATGATAGATATTTATATTCTCCCATTCTAAAGTCCAAGATCAATGTGCTAATAGAGTTGGTTTCTATTGAGGACTCTCTTCCTGGTTTGCAGATGGTCATCTTCTCACTTTGTCCTCACATGGCCTTTCCTCTTGCACAAGGGGAGAAAGCAAGCTGTGATATCTCTTCCTCTTATAAGGGCATCAATCCTATTGGATAAGAGCCTTTATAACCTCATTAAACCTTGACTACCTCATTGAAGATCCTGTCTCCAAATATAGTCATATTGGATGTTAGGGCTTCAACATATGAATTTTGAGAGAACATAATTTATTCTATATCATATGTATATATACATGTATGCAGATATGTTAATAGTTATCTTCTGGTGGTAGAATATAAATGATTATTTTTGTCTTTGTGTTCTTTGATCTCCAGGTTTCTGCATTTAGAATGTCTCATTCTTGTAATTAGAGGGAAAAGGCAACAAATATTAGATTTTAAAGAGAGGAATATATTTTTATTTTAAAGTGACATGTACAGTAGGTTTTTTCTAGGGCTGTATTTATAACCTGTGTCCACTCATCTACCCACATATCTCTCTATCTATCCTTCCACCCATATATTTGCGCTGAGAGAGATGTGGAAAGATATTGTTAATGTTGATGATAGCTTTTTCTAGGTGGTGGAATTTGAAGTGATTTTGTGTTCTTTGCACTTACTTCTATGGCTTGAAGTTATAATAAGGAAGTACATGATTTTTTCCCAAGAAAAGGCATTGATGAACTTTTTATTTGCTTACACACTTGATTCTGGTATAGCAGTTTGTCTGGTATAGCATCTCTGCTCCATTCCCGAGGCAGCCCCAGTTTCTGAGCATAAGGGAGAGTTCCATCTGGCAGGAACCAAGTGGCGCTGACCCTTCAGCCCTGGTCATGCTGAAGCTGCCAAGCCCAGGGTGGTATAGTTGTGCAGCTCAGCAGGGAGCAGAGAGCAGTTTTCAGGGGACACCTGGGCTCCCTGTAAACCCACAGCCAGTGGTATCCTGAGTCTCTGATGTACATTTTATGACCTCCTGGCCAGGTCTGTAGCTGGAGTTCACAGTTTCAGGGTGACAGCAACGTGCCCTTGGGTCCTTCTTGCCTGGCCACCCTGAAACTGGGGCTGGAGTTCCTGTAGAAGGATCTCTAACAGCCCCTGGATTGGGAGGCTGCCAAGGTCAAGGAATGGCTGTTAAACATTTTTTTTTTTTTTGAG